GGATGGGTGTGTCAGAGGCAATGCGATTGGCACAGGATAGAGCAGGGTTTAGGGCTGTTGTACATAGGGTCACTATGAGTTGCAAATGACTCGACGGCACATAGCAACAACACAACAACCACAAGGGGAAAAAAAAAACCTTGGCAGTCGGCTTTTGTCAAGAAAATCCCACGAGATAGTTCTTTGTCACATGGGATCTCTTCGGTCTAAAACGACTTGACAGCATCTAACAACAAAACTAAAATTCAGTAGTTGGTTAGCTTGCTTCTTTCTGCTGGAGAACGCTTCCGAGGAAGCATTGCTCAAGTGTTAATTCCCACTGCCACCATGTCAAAGTCAGAGTCTTCTAAAGAGCCCCAGCAGCTGCGGAAACTGTTCTTTGGAGGGTTGAGCTTTGAAATAACAGATGAAAGTCTGAGGAGCCATTAGGAGCAATGGGGGATGCTCCGGACTGTGTGGCAATGAGAGATAAAAATACCATGCCATGCGCTTCAGAGGCTTTGGGTTTGTCACACACTCAACTGTGTAAGAGGTGGATGCAGCATGAATGCCAGGCCCCACAAGGTGGAATCAAAGAGGGCTGTCTCGAGAGAAGATTCTCAAAGACCAGTTGCCCGCTTGACTGGAAAAGATCTTTGTTGGTGGAATTAAAGAAGATACTGAAGAACATCACTTTGGAGATTATTTTGAGCAGTAGGGAAAAATTGAAGGGATTGAAATCATGACTGACCGAAGCAATAGCATGAAAAGGGGCTTTACTTTCGTAACTTTTGATGACCCTGATTCTGTAGTTAATATTATTCAGAAATATATCAGGAAAGCTCTGTCAAAGCAAGAGATGGGGTTCTGGAAACTTTGGTGGTGGCCCTGGAGGTGGTTTTCGGGAACAACTTTGGGGAAAGAGGAAACTTCGGTGGATGAGGTGGCTTTGGTGGCAGCCATGGTGGTAGAGGATTTGCCAGCATTGGCGATGGTTATAATAGATTTGGTAATGAAAGAAGCAGCTTTGGAGGTGGTGGAAACAATGATTTTGGCAATTACAACAGTCTTCAAATGTTGAACTCCTGAGGGGAGGAAACTTCGGAGGCAGAAGCTCTGGACTTATGGGAGTGGGCAGGAGCTCTGGACTTATGGTAGTGGAGTCAGTATTTTGCCAAATGATGAAATCAAGGTGGCTCTGGTGGTTCCAGCCGCATCAGTAGCTATGGCAGTGCCAGATGGTTTTAGTAACTTCCAGGAAACAAAGCTTAGCAGGAGAAGGGAGCCAGAGAAGTGACAGGGAAGTTACAGGTCACAGCAGGTTTGTGAACACAGTCACACATAGTGGTGGCAGGGCCTCGCTGCTACAAAGAAGACATGTTTTAGACAATGCTCATGTGTATGGGCAAAAAACTCGAGGACTGTATTCATGACCAGTTGTATAACAGGTTATTTTAGTTTCTGTTCTGTGGCAAGTGTTAAGCATTCCGAAAACAAGAAATTCCAAAAACAATGCAGATTGTTTTTTCTACCCATAGTGTTGATTGCTAAATGTAATAGTCTGATCATGATGCTGAATAAATGTCTTTTTTAAAAAATCAGTACTCAAGAATTTATTAAGTTAATTAGCACTTATGATATGCTTGTTTGTTGAAAGTGTTTTTGCTTATTTCCTAGAGTTCAGTAATTGGATTATAACCAGACTTCTGAGGATTGCAGCAAGTCCAGCTTGTCAGATACTACATAAGAATATCTGTGAAGTAATTTGCTCGTTATTATTTCTTTTTAAAAGCAAGAGTCCTGCCATTTTTGGGACACTGACAAAGGAATTATTGTATCTTTTTGAAGACCTGATTTACCTCCACAGAAGACATGCACAGGGACACTTTGTGGAATGGCCAGTGGTGGTTAGTCGATTTTTAAGTCAAGTTGATGGAGAAATGGAATATTTACAACCAGCTCCTTTGCAGCTTATGAGTTGGCAAAATTTAGAATTTCTTGAAGTCACTTTATTAATAGTTCTCATTCGTATTGTTGCAGTTGTATTTTTTAGGAGACAAGAGCTCTTACTCTGGTGGATAGGCTGTGCTCTGCTGGAACATGGTAGTCCCAAAGTGAAATCCTTATCCCTGAGCCTTCTCACGGAGCTCTTCGGACTGGGGGGACTACCTGAACAAACAGCCAGCGCTTTTTTCAGCTCATTTTTAGAATTATTACACCACCTTGGGAAAATGGATGTTGACCAGCTGAAAATCTATGAAGAGCCATTATCAAAGTTGATAAAAACATTTTTCCCCTTTGAAGCAGAAGCTTATAGAAATATTGAACCTGTCTATTTAAATATGCTGCTGGGAAGACTCTGCATCATATTTGAAGATGGTGTGCTTCTACGGCTACAGTCCAATTTGTTAAAAGCACCCTTGTGCCATTTACTGCAGTATTTTCTTAAATTTGTGCCAATTGGATATGAATCTGCCTCACAAGTGAGGAAGAATTATGTGAACCGTATATGTTGGGCTCTTGTGGATGTTGTTGGTGTTCAGGAAGATACAGGGGTGAGCTGTTTTTAAGGTTATTTACTAAGTATATTCTGTTCATTCAAGTGTATGCATATGTGCAAAATGTATAAAAAGAAAACAGGATCTCTTTAATAATGTATCTCCAGAAGATATTAATTTTTACAGTACAGTCTAACTTTTGGTTAGATCTTAGATGTTAGGAGGGTCTGAAATGAATCACCAGTGAAGTATTTAAAGTATAACAAATGAAGTATGTTTGTTGATGATTAATGAAAAAGGTGCGTGTTCCTAACTTTATTGTAACCAATCACTTTTTAGAAACCCTGTAGGTAAATAACTGTTTGAGTTTTTGAGTAATAGTTTTAATCATAGAAAATTGTGCCACTTTTCCTGTTTAACATATGAGAGGTAGTCAAACATTACAATAAAATAGATACACAGTACTTTGATGAGAGATTTTAGTTTATTTATTCCAGGAATCTTTCTATTGGGAAAGAAACTAGAATTCTTTTTGTGGTGGCTTTATTTTTTTTTTTTGTGGAAAAGCCACTTTGAGAGACTAGAATTTGTCATAAAACTTTTAAAACTGTAGAACTATAGTTGATATATAGATTAAAATAATGTGGATTAACTTGGGTCTTTTCTCAATTAGACATTGTTTACCCCCGCAAAAAAAACGACTAAAATCCAAATGTCATCTAGTATATTTTGGTGCTTGTGTATCATAAAATTATGCTTCTGAGAGAGTTTTTGGAATTTTGTTTTCCCAGTATTTGTTAGGTCCGCTTTATGAAGCCTTAAAAATAGAAAGTATGGGAATCATTGAGGAAGTTAAGAGTCAAATGCAGCAGGAGAAACCCGGCATTGATAATGATGGACCAGCACCCAAACGGCGTTCACTCAGCTTGTCTTTAACCTCGTTCAAAAGAGCGCCAGGGCAAACTGCAGAGTACGGTCCCAATTCCGTTTGTATTCAATTGTTCAAGAAAATACTTTGGCTTAGATATGCAAAGAACATCTGTTCTTCTTAAATTTAGTCAAAGAGATGCTTAGACAAATGTAAAAGTTAATTGCATGATTAAATACAGTCTAATAGGAAACATATTTCATAATTAGTCACTTTGCCTTTCTTTATATGCCTGTCTAGTTTAACTTTTTAATGTGTGAAAAATCTCTGAGACATGATATGCGTTAGCAATTTTTAAATGGTTAACTGGCTATTTTTTGTCATATAGTAAAAGATTTAGTCATATTTCATCCACCCTGAAATAGCTGTTTTAATAGTTGTTTTTTACATTTATCTTTGGTATGGTTTGGGGCCTTAGGACCTTAGTCTCAAAGGATGCCAAGGTTAATCGGCATAACGTAGTTCACAAAGATCGCGTTCTGCATCCTTCTTTGGTGAAGAGTGACTGTTATCATAAAAGCTTATGGGCAGCTGTCTAAGGTGCAACAGTTGGTCTCTCCCTGTCTGAAAAAAAGGGAAGAAAAGCAAATGTATATAGAAACATCCACGGGGTTAACAGACCAGGTGAACCTTAACCTCCACTGCCCTGAGCTGAGAACTAGATGGTACCTTGCTACCACTTCTGAGCCTCTGGAAATGTTGAAGTCCTCTGAAAGCATAGAAGGTCCTGGACTGAGCGGGGGATGTTGTGTAAAAAAACCTTAAAACCAAATAGACTGGTGGAACTCCCCAGATGATGGCTCTTGGTCACTCTTTGGGTGTGGAACAAAACACACCTCAACTGCTCAACTTTCAGGTAATCTAATTAGCAAGCCTACAGGGAGACTAGTAATATCAGGATACACTCACCTATTAGAAGAGCCAATCGCATAAGGTCAAAAGGTCAGCATATGCCTAAAGATGAAGCTTACAAGGCAGGAAGGGGTAGAAAGAAGGGTGGAAAAAATGAGTATAACTTTTACTAGTTGAGTATCTATTTTAAATATTTTTCACACTTGAACCAAATGTATGCTAAATTGCAGTTTTTTCCTACTTTGTAATTCGCTTTAGACCCACACATGTTGATATGAGCAGAAGCAGTATATTATGGAGTGCATTGAAACAGAAAGCGGAATCTCTTCATGGTGTTCTTGAATGCAGTGATCCAAAGAAGCCCATTGAAACTTTAGAAGGAATTGCTGTTGTTCTGCAGCTTGTAGCTCTATGTACTGTTCACTGTTCTGAGCAAAGCATGGACTGGTAAAGCTTCTTTATATTTTCCCAGCGGGGTCCCTGTAAAAAACCTTAATTTACTGGTTTAAGAGTCCTACTTACTTGTTTCAAGAGAACACAAATTCAGCAGTATGGCGCATGCGCTCTCTCTCTTTATAGATAGAGCGAGAAAGATTATTTATTCCTTATAGTAATCTTGTGAAATAAGTGCCGTTGTATTCAAATTACAGTTTCAAAATTGAGCCTCTTTTTTTGTCTAAAGTGTAAAGTTTTCTGAAGATACATCAAGTAACAGAACACATTTCTCTACAATTCAAAAGCCAATATTCTGATCACTATACTCCATTTCTCTCTTTGATAATAAAAGTAGGAATTTAGAACTCATTGCAGGCAGATTTTTAGTTCAGTACTGTTAATATAGATTTCTTATTTCATCAGAACAAACAAGTGAAATGTGACCTCTCTTTGAAGATTTAGTCTAATTTTTACTGGCATATTATAGACCGATAGTTTTGTTAAGACATCATCCTTTTTTCTTTATTTCCCGACACACATTTTCAGTTCCTCAATACTTGATACAAAAAGATTTTAGAGAAGCTACATTAAGATTCCATTGATTTTAAAATTTAAAGTTAAGTTCAAGAAATAGCTAATTAGACTAAAGTCTAGCCCTCTCCTGTTAATGACAAGAGGATTTATTAAGCCAGCTAATAATTACGTAGAAATTCTGTATAATTATGGGAGAGAGGGAGCAAGGCGAAGACAATATTTGAATAAAGGTTTGAAAGTGGCTATTTATGTGGACAGATGAGATATTAATCTAAAATCCTTAAATTTGTTACAAGACCTCGCCACTTGACAGTTTTTCCACTGAATCAAGTTGATTCCCTCCCCTTCTTTTCTTTATTGTGATTTTAATGCAGATTTACAGAAGTTTTGTCATTCATTGATGCACATTTCTGCACACCTCTTTCCTTCCATGTCCCCAGTTGACTTTGTAATGAACTTGTTTCAGATGGTTAATTGCTGAAATACAGAATATCTAATCATACATTCCTTTCAAACAGTCCTTTCCTTCATCTGTTACAGTGCAGTATTCAGTACCAGTCCACTCTTTTCCTATTCTTCCCATGTCAGTCCTATTTTATAACAGCAGTATTTTTCCTTTGTAACACAGATATTTCACGCAGTATAATATCTTCCAGACTCATCCATGTTGTATCATGGTTCACAGGTTCTCTGTTTTTGAATGTACCTTAGAGAGTCCTGGTGGCCTACTGGGTAAAGAGTTGTGTTGCCAACTCAAAGGCAAACAGTTTGAATCTACCAGCTGCTCCTCAAGAGAAAAATGGGCACCCTCCATCTCCGCTGTTACAGCTTCTGAAAACCCACTGGAGGGCCAGCTCCGAGTTGGACTCATTGGCAGTAAACAACAAGAGCAACAGTCTACTTTAGAAATACTCTTACTGTTATGCAGTATTTCAGCGATAAAAGACCTTTCCTCCAGCTAATTTAAATTATTATCAGTAAGATACATTGATTTATTAATTACACTTTCTCTGTATAAACATACAGAGCACTAAGATGTAAAAACTAAATTCATGTTAAACATATAGAATTAAATTCATGTTAAACGTACAGAGCCTTGAGCTCATATTAAACATACCGAGCATGCTGTGTAAGCTTTAATTGTGAAATACTACTGTGCATGAGACTCTTGTTCTCAAGGTTCCAAGATTTTTGTTTTTATGTATCTAGGGCTTCTTGAAATAAGTAAAGCAAAGCAGAGTATCTATTCTTCTAGCCCTAGTTGTACTAGACATTTAACTCTTTTTAGTGGACCCTAGATACACACACAACCATGTCAAAGGTATTTTTTTGACAGTTTTAACCCAGGTGATGTATATCCTAGATTATTTTGATCTTCAAAATCTAGAAGTGGTTTATTTTAACATAAAGAGATTGAATTTAATAACACCTTCAGTCATTTTTTTATTTTGTTTGAAGTGTGTAAAGATTGTAGTTTTGTGTGCATAATTTCTTTTGTCTGTCTTTATTGCAGTATTAAGTTTGCCTATGTTAAAGTTCATTTTAATTGCAGCATCAATTAAAAATATATATTTACTGCAGCGATAATTTCATGGAATCTCAACATAAATGTGAGAAGAAAACTTCCACTATAATAACTTGGATGCCTTCAGATTTTTATACAAAAGTTCTTAAGAGTTGTAAGAATCTCTTAGAATCAGTTCAAAAACCTGACCTGGAGACAGTCATTGATAAAGTGGTGAAAATATATGATGCACTGATTTATATGCAAGGTGAGTACAAGTAGGTAGTAAGATCCATATAACCTTTAAAGACAATCTATAGAAATAAGCTTTCTTTTTTGCTTGCAGCCTAAATGTATAAATGTAGAGGAGACCCTAAAATAGCTTCGTTTCAGTTTTAGTAAGCTTATCAGTTCCGTCTGTATTCCAATTCTCCATTCTTGCTTTGATGGTATTTTGATTTACTTTTAGTCCATCAGTCAGTATAAATGATTCATAACTAATATTTTCTTATTTGTGAATCTTTATTTTTTCAAGAAAGTGTGTATTTGTGGAAAGTCACTCTTGATTTCTTTTGAGTTCACAGATCTCAGCAAATCCTGTGTAACACTATATTGTTATATATATATTTTTTTATATGTATGTTATATATATATATATATATATATATATGCTTTTGAGTTGAGCACGACTCATAGCGACCCTATGAACGAAAGGCCTGCATCCCCTCTGCAACCATTAAGATTTATCATAATTGGTAGAGTTTCCAGAGGCATGTTGTTTAGGAAGTGGATGCCACTCCTGTTTCCAAACCTATCATTATATGTTATTGATTGAGTCACCTGTGATGCATAGTGACCCTGTGTACAGCAGCTCTGAACCCTTCCCTCTCCTGAGCCAGTCTCACTAATTCTGACACACCAACCCTCATTGCCCCAGTCACTGTATCATTCCATCTCATCCAGAGTCTTCCTTTCTTGCGCTGTCTGTCCACCCCTCTGCGTAAGGACCAATTTCTCCTGGTCACGTGTCCAAAACAACATATCAACAAGAGGTAATGGGGATGGATGAAGGAAGAAATGCAGGCTGCTCTGAAGGACTTGGCAAAAAATATAGCCCCAGGAACTGATGGAATACAGGTTGACATATTTCAGCCAATAGATGGTGCCCTCCATGTACTCACCAAGTTGTGCCAAGATCTCTGGAGGACAACTACTTGGCCAGCTGACTAGAAGAGATCCATATCTGTTCCCTTCCAAAAAAAAGATGATCTGACAGAGTATGGAAATTATTGAACTATATCACTAATACTACACACTAGCAAAATCCTGCTGAAGATTATCCAGAAAAGACTTCCAACAGTACATTGACAGAGAACTACCAGAAATACAAGCTGGGTTAGAAGAGATTGTGGCACAAGGCAGAGAGTACAAGAATGTCTGTGTCTCATTGACTATACAAAAGCATATATTAAAAACCCCCATTTTTTTAATATTCTTATGTAATTCTACTTAATGTTTAAAGTATCTGTGTTTTTATTTAAAAGAGTTGTGATTAAGGAAACGTTAACAGTTAATTGTCTATTTTATGTTTCTGTAGTAAAAAGTGGGTTTGAAGATGAAGTTCTGAAAGATTTATGTGGTATGCTCTCACTTCCATGGATTTTCCCCCACTCTGATAATGACATTTTAAAGTTGACAACGTTTGCCACAAACCTTTTAACATTAAGCCAGAGGACTTCAGATAGCTACTGTAAGTGGTCACAAAAGTATACTTATATATGCATTTAATTTGCTTTATATCTTCATTTGATATTGCTAACATTTATCTTTTCAGTAATTAAAAAAGAATTGTTGTGTTGCTGGAACAAACTCATAGTTGATCCTTCAGTGGGTTTTCATAAGCAGTTTAATGACACGGGAGGAGATTGCTCATCTTTCTGTTGTGGAGCAGCTAATGGATTTGAACCTTGTGCCTTGGGTTGGCAGTGAAATTCCTTACCACTTAGCCACCACAGCTCCCTGAAAAAGGACTTAGACACGTAAAAAAAAAAATAACAGATGAAAACTTTGCCTTACATCTTAGATCCTTTCTTATTGTAAAAAGTTTGAAATACATACTTATGCCCCTTTATTGTTACTTAACAAATTTATAAAATATATAAAACCAAAACAGAGAATAAAAAGCCACCCACCATAACACCCAGTTCTAAAAAATATATATAAAATAGAAACCTTTTGAACTTTCCTGCCAGTTGCATTCTCCTCATTCTCTCCCCAGAAGTATCACTGTTCTGAATTATTATTCTGATGACTGTTGTCCTACTTTTACTTGATATATATTCATTCCTAAATAAGATATAGCATTGTTTTGCTGTTTGTAATATGTATTTTTTTGTGATCAGCATGGTTTTTGAGACTTATCCATGATGATACATGTAACTCTAGTTTTTATTTACAATTTAGAACAGTCGCCATCTAAATGAGGACCCACTGCTCGCAAGTAGATTCTCTGAGTCAGCAACTCATGGATACTGTTGTTGACGGACAATCTGGTTTATAATTTTTCTCACCTGTAAATAGTATTTCAGTTAATATCTCTATAAATGGCTCTTTGGGCACTTCCAAAGCTTTTCTGTTTGGTAAATGTTGGCCACAAATAAGCAGCAAAAACAACACTGGGAACATATTAAAAAAAGTAGAATCTTATGACTTGTCTAGGTATTTTAGGTCAGAATTTTCTTGTATTACGAGATTCCCCTATAATTCATTTGCATGTTTGACAAGGAATAGAATTAGACTTACCCCTTGTCTTGTTCTTCAAAGACAAGGCAGTTTACATTCCTTTTAGCAGAATATGAAGGTTGCTACTGCTTGACAGCCACACCCACCCTGGGCATTGTTAAATTGGAAGGTTTGCTATCAAAGAAAAAAGGAAGAAAGAAAATTTCAAGGAGGAAATATTTTTTAAATATTCTTGTGGTGAATCTGAACGTGTGGATTGCATGTCCCTTGATTACTTAGTAACATTGTGCATAAACCTTCTTCAGTGAACATGTAAGTTATTGTTATTATGTACTGTCCAGTCGACTGGGACTCCTTCCTCTCCTGTGCACAGTCGCTCTGAACACTGCCCTATCCTGAACATACAAGTAGTATGTTCTCGAAAAAGAGCTTTTACTTAATGTTATGTACATTTTAAATATTAGTTGATTTTATGGGTACATGTACATATATATGCATATTTATATAGTTAATATATTAGACATATTACTTAATAGGCTTAATGGGTTTTTTTTTCAGCACCACAGGCCCAGTCACGATGTGTGTTTCTTCTTACTCTGTTTCCAAGAAGAATATTCCTTGAGTGGAGAAAATCCATTTATAATTGGGCACTGCAGAGCCCCCATGAAGTAATCCGGGCTAGTTGTGTTAATGGATTTTTTATCTTATTGCAACAGCAGAACTCTTGTAACAGACTTCCCGAGGTTCTTATGTATGTATATTGCTTGAGTGTATTGTTTAATGGGAGAGATCATAGTTCTTTTGATGTCTGTGCAAATTTGTAGTTATTTCTAGATATATGAAGTAGATGTTACTTTTAGTTTTAGAACTTAAATTTTCCCATCTAATTTTGAAGCAGAACTGTTGTACAATATGATGAGCGCAGTTAAGGTGACTGCATAGTACATGTCAGAAATGTACAAGTGGCATTGTGCTTTGATTTTTTTTGTGTACAGCAATTTTTGTGGATTGTGTTCTTCCCTAAAGTTTTCTTTTTAAAAATTTTTTTATTTTAATTGATATTTTAATGAAAGTTTATAATGAACTTGGATTTCCGTTCTTTCATTGTTGAACATTTTCTTCCTACCTATCCCCAGTTCGCTTTTCTCTTTGAAAAAAAATTGTTTTGTTGTTGGAAACTTTCCTCCCCCCTTAAGTCCACATCACTATGCAGCTTTTATTCTGGACTGTTGTCATGCAAATAATTCCTAATCATATGCACATCCATGTTTATTGCTGCATTATTCACAATAGCAAAGAGATGAAAACAAGCCAAGTACCCATCAACAAACGAATGGTTAGAGAAGCTGTGATATATTCACACAGTGGAATACTATGCAGCACTGAAAAACAAGGAACTCAAAATATACAAAATGGGTGACCCTGGAGGACATTATGTTGAGTGAAATATCTCAGTCACAAAAGGATAAATACTACATAATGCCACTGTTATAAAAGAGGAGTCGGGGTTGGGGTCTAAGAAACTAAGAAAAGAGGGTAAATAATGTACACTGCATTGAAACAGATGAGGGTAAGAACTGTTTAAATTTTTCTTAAAAGCAGTTTTACACAAAATTGAGACTTTTTAGACTACAAAGTTAATTGTGGTTTATGACCATTTTTCTTCTCTTCAGGGATAAAGTCAAAGATGATTCTGACATTGTCAAGAAAGAATTTGCTTCCATCCTTGGCCAACTTGTTTGTACTCTTCATGGCACATTCTATTTTACAAGTTCTTTAACAGACTCTTTCTTGGAATGTGGGCCCGTTGACCTCTTCTGTAAGAACCTGAAAGTCACTTCTCAACATGCGTGTTCAGCTTCTCGACTAAAAGCTTCTATTTGTAAGCCGTTCCTTTTCCTACTGGAAAAGAAAACATCTAGTCCAGTAAAACTTGGTGAGTGGTTTCTTTAAATGATTTAACAGTTTTAAAACCCATTTAAATTCTGTTTTCAAAGCTGTAGAATTTGTCTGATCCTTCAAAACTTTATTTTGTAAGTCAAAGCTCCTGTAATGACTACTTAGAAATGAGATGCCTCATAATAGACTGTATCACAGAACTACAGGAGCAGTGATTTTTGGGTTTTTTAAATACTTCTCTGATTTTGTCAGTCCAGTGTGACAGTTTGGTGGTTGATTTGGTTTTAGGACGTTTGGTGTTTTGTGGCATCCTTAGTGATAGCGGGGGCCTTCTTAATATGTTAATATGCCACTTGACACTGTTTTGGTCTTTTAATCTTAGTTAAAATACCTTGTTTGTCTGAGGATTGTAAATTTTGGTCATTTTCCAGTGATAATAGAATATGGGTGTTGGAAACATGAAGTTTTACATAAGTGCTTAGAAGTTCCATGGTTAATAAATTTATGAAATAGGATGTATGTGTTTTATATTGGAAATTGCAACTTGTTTACAAAGCAGTGGTTGGTAGGTACTTTGTAGAACTTCCTAAATCTTCTGTGTTAAGAGTAATTGTAAGATTGGCCTTAGTCCAAGGTTCTTTGAATTACTGAAGGGGTCTTCTCAAGTCTATCTTTTAAAATGATGGTTTCCAAAATCTAGAATTGACTATTTAAAACTTACAAAATTCTAGATTTTATTTTAAATTATTTCTAACTTATATTAACCATAAAGTTAATTTAAACTTAAAATATCTAATAGTATCTTTTAAATCCTGAATACTGGCATTAGAAAACAAATTATCATGTATTATTTGTAAAGAATGTTTTCATAGTATAACTTTGATACTTAATGTGTTTAATTAAGTATTACATGCTTTCTCATTTTAGCATTCATAGATAATCTACATCACCTTTGCAAGCATCTTGATTTCAGGGAAGAAGAAACAGATGTAAAAGCAGTTCTTGGAACTTTTTTAAATTTAGTGGGAGATCCAGACAAGAATGTTAGAGTGGCTTTTAGTGGAAATATCAAACATATATTGGAATCCTTGCATTCTGAAGATGGATTTATAAAAGAGGTTGGTAATTTTTCTTTTTGAACATTTTTATTTACATAAAAGTGGATCTCAAACATTGTTTAACCATTTAATTTTATTGTTGTAGCTTTTTGTCGTAACAATGAAGAACGCATATGCACAAGCCCAAGCATCAAGAAATAATGAGTTGAAGGATACTTTAATTCTTACAACTGGGGATATTGGAAGGTATGTTTGGAAGAATTTGTGTACTACCTTATTTATTTTCCATTTCCAAAATTTTCATTTGCCTAATGTTGAAAATAATAGTATGAGTGATAAAGGTATTATAGAAAAAGCCATGCTAGCATGTATTTACAGGCACCCCTAAGAGAGATTGTGGACGTAGTTCCAGACCAACATTGTCAAGTTGTTAAAATCAAGTGAGTAATGTTAATCTTTTGGGGTTCCCAGTGCTTCTAAAAGCGATGTTTAAAGGGAGCTCTGGTGGCTTACTGGCAAGAAGCTACACTGCAATCCCAGAGCTACCCGGTTCGAATCCACCAAATGCTTTGCTGGACAAAGAGGGGCAATCTCCTCCTGTACCAGTCAGATCTGATTTGACGGTGCACACACAAAAAATAATAAAATAAAAAATTAAAAGCCATGTTTACATTATATTCCAGTCTTAAAAGTGTCTAATATCATTAGGAAAAATTTTAAGTGTTTCAGGAATTGCCAAAATATGACAGAGAGACACGAAGTGAGCTCATGCTGTTGGAAAAATGATATTTAACGTGTACCTAGAAGAGGATTTCCCCAAACTTTTTTAAAAAATTTTTTAAATTATTATTATTCTTTGTGTGTGTACCAGCAAATTGTACCTGACTGGTACAGGAGGAGATTGCCCCTCCTTCCCCAGTAGAGCATCTGGTGGATTTGAACTGCATATCTTTGGGATTGCAGTGAAGTTTCTTGCCACTAGATTGCCAGAGCTCCCTTGATTTCCACAAACTTTTTGTTTGTGCAATATGTGATAGCTGCAAAGATCATTGAGGTGCAGTCTGATAAAGGGAGTCACGCCTTGTTTATAGATTTGCATTCGTTTCTAAGTCATGGCTAATAGTTTTTGTCTTGATCTTTTTAGGGCAGCAAAGGGAGAGCTGGTGCCTTTTGCACTCTTGCACTTACTGCACTGTTTGTTAGCCAAGTCAGCCCCTGTCTCTGGAGCAGCATACACTGAAATCAGAGCTCTGGTTGCAGCTAAAAGTGTTAAACTGCAAAATTTTTTCAGCCAATACAAGAAACCCATCTGTCAGGTGAGTATCGATATTGTCTCTGTCTATACAAAATTGTTGTTGTTTTGTACCATAGCATTGGAACCACCCCATAGCTGATCCTCTGGCGGGTTATCAGAGGCATTTAATCGCGTAGGAGGAGACTGCCCATCCTTCTCCCGGGGAGCAGTTGGTGGCCTTGAACTGCGTGCCTTCAGGACTGCAGCACAGTCTTTTGCCACTAGGCCACCAAAGCTCCCTCATAGTATATTTGGATTATATATAATAAAGTTATGTGTTATATTGTTAGTAATTACAAAATTATATGCGGTTTAAAGTGAGACAATTTTAATTTTACATTTTGAATTATTTCATTAGAGAGGTCTGGTAATTAAGTAGTAAGGAGTTACACTGCCAATTGAAAGGCATAAACCCACCAGTATCTCCATAGGAGAGAAGTTGTGTATTCCCCTTCCCTGCAGTGTACTGCCTCTAAAAACATGCTGAATGGTCAGCTGTGAGTTGGTTCTGACTTGATGCTAGAAAATAGAATTAATTTTAAAATTTTAGAATTAAATGTCATAATACATTATGTATTACTATGTAGTATATAATAGCTTCTAAAAATGATAACTAAAAAGAATATAGAGCTTGCCAGTCTTCTATTCTCCTCTTGGTTGAATATGTAATTTTTTTTTTAAACAAAGAAGCATTTTATTCCATTGCTCATGAATTGCGGGGTTTATTCAGTGGCAGCAACAACAGATTCTCCAGATAATTTTCACCAGAAAACTGGAGCGTCAATATAACAGTCGCCTGTGTAATAGTAAAGCCTACACTGCATTGTAGGATGACTCAACTTTGTAGTAGATAGGTGTAAAGAAACACCTTTTCTCTTGTAAAATCATAATTGAGTTCACAATTCATAGTCTCTAATGCTTTTTGATTGAAAAAGTAAAAAGTGCTATTCTTTTTTTGTTGTTTTTTTCACAGAGATTGGTTTTTATTCACTCATTCATTTATTCATGCACATTTTCCTCCCTTTCTCAACTAACTTTGTAATACTTATCCTGTTCCAGGCTGTTAATTGTCATACACATAATTTCTAATCATCCTTTCCTTCTAGATTGTTCTTCCTTTCCCCCAGTCTAGTGCAGACAGTGTTCATTGTCTATCCTTTAGTTTCCCATACGTCCATCTCATATTGATCCTATTGTAACACTGATCTTATGCAGTGTTTGACCTTTTGTGATTGAGATATTTCACACCGTATAATATCTTGCATATTGTATAGTGTTCAAATTCATTGCTTTTCAATGCTGTGTAATATTCTGTTGTGTGAATGTACTATACTTTCTTTATCCATTCCTTCTCTCAGCTATTGTAAATAATGCTGCAATAAATACGGGTGTGCATATAACTGTTTGTGTCACTCCTCTGATTTCTTTGGAATATATTCCCAGTTGTGGAATCTCTGGGTCAAATGGTATTTCTATTTTCAGCTTTTGAAGACGTGCCAGTAATATATAATAATGTTTTACATTCTAGCTAGCAGAGTTCCAATCTCTCTACATCCTTGCCAGCATTTGTTGTTTGTTGCCCTGTTGAACTTTGTTATTATTGCTGGGTGGATATATAATTTTAAATGAGAAAAGGAAAAATAGTCTTATGATGTAATGAGTTACTGATTTTTTGTTACTAATCTTGTGGAAATGTCTCCTTTCTTGCCTCTTTTTAATGATAAGTCCCTCTAAGCCTTGTGTCTAAAGAAGAGAAAACAGGCCATGGGGGCACAGTGCCATGAGCATCTCTGAAAGGGCCACAAGGAATGAGAAAAGCACACCCCCTCACCGCCCCAGAGCAGAAAGCAGATAAAGAGTCCATAGCCCAGTCACACGGTGCCTGTAGAGACCCACCAACAGCAAGAGGTTATTTTATTTGTTACTGACTCGTAGACTCCAAGTTGTACTGAGAATGGCGTGTATTAGGGAAGTAAGTGGGAGAATGGTGGAGACAATGCAAATCTGAGTTTTAGCCAAGCAGTCCCAAGGGACAATTCCTCAATAAGTCAAGGCTCCAGTGTCAGGTCAGCAGTCAAATGAAAATAATCTAACAAGGCTTGCCCCAGAACAGTTATAAGTCAGCTTCTCCTGCAAACATCCAGCAAGAACAGCCAAACTTTTAACCATGACCAGCACAAAGGGAAGCCTCTGGTCACATTTTCTCCACAGCAGTGCCACAGTCTCTCTACAACCTGGGCCTCATTCTCACCAGGGTCTTACTACCATGAGACCTGCCCATCGCAAGTCTTGCTCCACAGTGTGTGGGAAGCACTCTTTCTCTTATCCTAGCCACACAATTGTTGATTTACAAGATGGTGCTGATTTGCAAGACCTTGTGTCTTGCAGTTTAAGGTAGCTGGAGACCAGAGGCTAAATGACTTAAAAAACCCACCAACTTTTAGTCCAGCACCTCACCTTGATATTACAGATTTGACATTTTAATTTTTAAAAAGTAGAATTAGTTAATGGCCAAAATGTTAGGCTGTGTTAAGATCTTGATTTTAGTCTGTGTGTTTGATAATCCTTAGCAAGATATTCAAGGTAATGTTACTTAACTAAGTATGGTTACATCATCTGTAAAATGGAGATTATTACATATCTGTGTTTTAAAGATTGTTTTTATAACTAAATGAGAATCTAGGTAATGTGTTTAAACAATGTCTTTTAGCTTGAAAAAGTATTACTTGGGTTTTTCCCATTTTTAAAAATTGGCAATAAAATTCTTTTTGCTGTAGTTTTTGGTGGAATTCCTCCACTCCAATCAGATGACAGCACTTCCTAGTACTCCATGCCAGAATGCTGAGATGAGAAAGCAAGATGTGGCTCACCAGAGAGAAATGGCTTTAAATACCTTGTCTGAAATTGCCAATGTTTTCGACTTCCCTGATCTTAATCGTTTCCTTACTGTAAGTTTTAATACATAGTTTGCTTAGCTAAGGTTTTCAATTAAATATTTTGTTCATTTTCTTTTTTATTTTATTTCATGTTTTCTACTATTGCATCTTTCTTTGTTGGTTTTAAGGGGGAAACTAATAAGTACATTGAAGAACCCAGCACCTGCACTTTTACATTTACATGTCTTCTTTTGACTTTGATTTGTCACATACATTTATGTTGACTAGAGTCATTTTTCTATGTTTAATTGACCAGAAGTATTAATACTGATTAATCCTACTATTTTAGTTCTTGCATTTTTAGTGTTGTCATTGATTTTATTGAGAATATGAAATCTCACATACTATCTATCCCTGAGGAGTTGATGTAATAAAGTATAAAACTAATAGTATAGATGATCTGCTGTGAATTTAGATTATAAATAGAGTTTGTAGTGTAATATGCTTTGGGAACGTCTATAGTCATTGGGACTGAGTTTTAAAGATTGTTGTTGTTATTGTGTACTGTAGTCGAAACTGACCCATAGTTGACCCTCCAGCAGCTTTTCAGAGGCATTTAATCTCACGGGAGAAAATTACTTAGCCTTCTCTCACAAGTTTTAAATATAGATGGACTGCAATCCCAGAGGTGTGCAGTTTGAATCCACCAGATGCTCCACTGGAGAAGGATGGGCATTCTCCTCCTGTGCCAGTCAGATCCGATTCTACAACACACCAGAAGACAAAAAAAACCAAACAAACCCAACTTTCCCTAAAACAAAGTTTATTATTACTCCTAATAAATTAAAATGACTTTGGCCTCTTGGGTGGTGATGAGAGTGGGCTGGGAGCCTCTTATTGGAGACAAGGAGAGACTGGTGCAGAAGCTGGGGCTTTTAAAAAAATCATTTGAACATTCTGGCCTGATTTAATTGTTTCTGAAATGAACATTTCCTGTGTGGTTCAGCACTTTTCTGTCATTTTGCTGTACTTAGTATATAACTTAGGTAACTTAGGAAATGTGCAAGGAGCTGGAGCCAGAAAACCAAAAGGGTCGAACTCTCTCAGGATCACTGCTAGATAACACTTAATGACAGTAACAACAACATATAAAGTCTGGCCCTTGTCTCCATTTTGGAGTTGGGTGAAGTAGTGGACTCTGTACAATGGCGCTCTTGTTTTTGTTGAACATCTGTGTAGATTGTGTGGTTGTTTTTTATTTAAGACTTGTTTAGAGTAAACAAACAAGACCTCTTAGAAGGGCCCTTATATTTAAAAGTTGGGTCCGTGGATTATTTTAACTGCTGGTTATCATTTTTTTTTAATCTTATAATTAATGTTTGGCTCTTCTAAGTCATACAGCTCTCTTGTCTATTTGCTGTACTGAGGTAATCTAGGTTTCCTGTGACACTGAACCGTTTGCTGTTGGAGTTTCAAAGGTCATAATGGAACAACTGTGCCATAGGTGTGCCAAACACCATAATGGCTACCCATCATGGGAAATGTTTGGTGGAGCTCCCAGATTGATTAAGGTTTTGAAGCAGGAGTGGCATCTGCTTCCTAAATCACATGCCTCTGGAATCTCTCTAAATGATGATAGTTATAGAAAATCTTCAGGCCTTTTGTTCATGGAGTTGTTATGAGCTGCTTGTGACTAGACAGCATTCAACAACAACAACATCTGAAAAAGGCATTTGATCACCAGTATGGGGCTGGAATCCAGGTTGGGAAGTAGTCTGGAGCAGCCAGATTCTATAGAGGTTTGTGTTTTGGTTCTGGTTAGGATTAGTGAGAAATGATTACTTGCCATTGAGTGTGAGTTGATTGTATTTGGCCTCCTATTGAAAAAGACAATTGGGCCCGAGGGCCTCTGGTTTTAACTGTGTTTGTCAAGCATTCTTCTAAGTGGTATAGCATTGATATGTCCATTTGCTGTACAAAGGTAACTCAGTGGTTACTGTGATGCTGAACACTGTGACACTGATGTGTCATACGTGATAATGGTTACCCATGGTGGACAGTGTTTGGTGGAGCTCCCCAGTTAAACAAGCTTGGAAGCAGAAGTGGCATCCACTTTCAAAATAGCTTGCCTCTGGAAACCCTATGAACTTGGAGAAACAATGAAAGTTATACAAGTGTTCAGGTCTTTTGTTCATAGGGTCACTGTGAGTCACCTACGACTCAATGGTAATTAACAACAACAACAAAATTACAATAGTGATTCTTAAAAAAATTTTTTAGTATAGTATAACTAATTCTGGTGGACTGAAATTGCTCTATTACTGACCTACAAATTGGTCAGATCCTCCAGAAAAGAAGTATGATGGTATGTGGTAAGGTCTCTAAAAATATTTATACCTTCTCATTCAGATTTATTCTGAGTATTAAAGAACAAATGTTTATTGCAACATTATCCAAATCATAAAACCAAACAAAAACTAGACGAAATAATTGAGGAAAAACTGAAATGTCTAATATTTGTCATATAATATCATATAACTATTAATGCAGCAACAGTTATAAAAATTTTATTGTTTTTCCATAACATTAGCTCTCGTGGCCTAGTGGCAAGAAGCTGAACTGCAATTCTAAAGGCCCGTGGTTCAAGGTCACCAGTTGCTCTGCGGGAGAAGGATGGGCAATCTCCTCCTGTTAGATTAACTAACTAACTGCCTCTGAAAACTCACTTGGAGGGTCAGCTATGGGTTGATTCCTACTGCACGGTACACACTAACAAGGTTACTTTAATAACATAAGTCTTAGAATGCTAGTATCAAGTTGAAAGACATTGTAAGGCATAAGTGCCTTTGAAGGAAAGCCTGCCTCTTACTCAATGTCATAGTCTCAGGGCCTTATAAGGCCTGACCTGCAGTAGATGTTCACCAGATACACATTAAATGAATAGGTGAAAGACATTTTTTTTAATGTTTGGAATTTTATATTTCATACCAAAATCTTAAAGGAAATAGACCAAAATGAAAATAGATTTTTTGGGGTAGTGGGATAGCAAGTGTATTGGAACATTTTCTTTACTATTCCAGCATCAACATTTTATTCTTATTTTTTATTTTTTTAAAAGTTGTGATTTGAGTGAAAATTTGCAAAACAAACTGGTATGTATACAACCATCCATTCCCATTTTGCTTTATGACATTAATTATAACACCTATAATATAACTGCTCTTTTCCTGCTTCCTGCCTGTGATTCTGGTTTCTATTAATCCCTCTGTTCAACTTCTTCATGTCTTCTAAGCTTTTTAACATCAACATTTTAATTTCAAATTATTCTTGAAGTATTGCACATTGGTTACTGTTGCATGTCCCTAAACACAAGTTAGCTCATTTATTGCATCAGGTTTGGAGCCTTTACCTTAAAGCATGAAAATAATTTAACAGATAGGAAGATGGATATGTAGGTAAGTAGATAGATGGGTGAATAGATAGAGCATTACCTAGAGAGGTGGAGAGAGGATAGAGAGCTTCTGCCAAGCTAACTCCAGTTTGTGGAAACTTTATATACAGAACAAGTCCTGCGTCATCTTTACTGTGTCTCATAGAGTCTGTCAGTTATGAGGCTGATGTGCCATTCACTCTCATCAGGAGTCTTCCTTGCCCTTTACTTCATCAGACATGATGCCCTCCAGTAATTGATGCCTCTTAATAAAGTATCCAAAACAAATGGGTTAATCAGTGTCCTGTTGTGATTCTTAAGGTTTTCATTGGCTCAGTTTCAGAAGCAGGTAACCAGACCTTCCTTTCTCCTCTGTCTGGAAATGCCTTGGAATCCTGTCCATCACAGTTGACCGGAAGGTGTTTGTAATACTGGTGACTTTGCTTCCAGCAGCATGGTATCACATAAGCAAGCAAACTGACAAGCATACTCATGAGGAATTAGGCCTATATTAATGTGGGCTTTGACTACTTTATTCTCAGCTGCATTACCTGACTCATAATAGAGGTTCACTTGTATCAGTTGACGAGGAACCCTCGTGACATAGTCTAAAATGTGCTATGCTGCATCTCTGGTGATTTGAATACACCGCGGCTCTGAGGGAGAAAGATTGGAAGTCTCCTCCTATTACAGTTTACAGCCTAGGATGGAGGGTGTTGCTCTGATTTGATACTGACTCAGGAACACTGAGTTTTGAGTTTCAGATATCCGTTGAAGGAATAAATGATAAATTTGAATTCAAATGTAGGTTATAGTTGGGTTTCCAATTTGTGTGGCACTGTAGAATATTTTCACCCAAAGCTCACGTGGGTGTTTTATCCTCTGTACCTGCGTCCTTTCTGGTAATTGTTGTGTTTCTCTTGCAGAGGACATTACAAGTTCTGCTCCCGGACCTTGCTGCCAAAGCAAGCCCCACGGCTTCTGCGCTCATTCGAACCTTGGGAAAACAACTGAATGTCAATCGCAGAGAGATTTTAATAAATAATTTCAAGTATATTTTTTCACATTTGGTCTGTTCCTGCTCTAAGGATGAATTGGAATGTGCCCTTCATTATCTGAAGGTAATTAGATGTTTGTGAATATTTTACTTTTCTTAAAATTAGCGTTCCAGGAAACTATCAGGATGTTATTATAGGAGGGAGGATAAATAATTAACAACCTGTCCTTGAGTAACGTCAGCTCAAATACTATGTCGTGTAAGCTTTATTCTAGGCTTCCCAGGAGCGTGGGAAATGAATTGTTCTTCCATTCCCTTTGATCCTTTCACCATGATAGGTTATTGATCATCATATTTTCATGCTCACTTTTCCAGCTGATTTCATTTTAGTATTTTTTGCTTGACTGGCATTAGAAGTTTAATCACAGCAGGCTGCAAATCAAAAGGTTCAGCATCTGAATCTTACAGCTGTTTTATGGAGGAAGATGAACAGGTTTCTCTTGTAAATATTTACAGACTCAGAAATGAGATGAAAGGTCTCAGTGAACTAGAACTTGCTTGGTAAATTGTCTTATCAAATAAATGTATCTCTAGGAAGGAACTCTTGTTAGCTTAATGGTTAAGAGCTTAGCTGCTGACTGAAAGGCCAGTGGTTCAAACCTACAGGCCACTCTGCTGAGTAGGATACGATCCTCTGCTCCCGTGAAGAGTATGTATAGCCTTGGACACTGTATAGGACAGTTGTAGGGTCACTGTGAGTAAAATCAAATTGATGGCAATGAGATATTTATAGGACAAGGGATTTTTATGGTTGAGTAACAGAATTCTCACCTTACTAATTGGAGGACCTGGGTTCTCCTCCTTGTCAGTAGACCCTATTAGTCTTCTTTTGGTGGAAGTTTGCTTATTGATATAATGCTGAATCAATAGCCATGAGAACAGCAATCAAGAAATCAAACTAAAGGGGGGAAAAATAGAAGTCAGACTAGGTGTTGCATGGGGCAAATCTGTCAAGGACCTTTTTAACATGGTGAAACACAAGGTCATCATTTTAAAGATTAAAAAGCATCTTATCCAAGCTATGATCTTTTTCGGAAACTTTTCAATAGTGTGTTCAAAGATTATTGAATATACTGTGGACTACGAATAAAAGAAATAAATCTAGGAAGAAGTACAGCCAGATTGTTCCTTAGAGGCCTCGGATGTGAGACTTCATTTCATAGACTTTGTGTATTTCATCCCAAAGTATAGACATCGTGGTTGGAGAAGTGGAGGGTCCACAAAACGGTCCACGTCAGATAGAATAACAGTGAGTTTAGCAGTAGGTTCAGACATTGAAGAGATTGTGAGGATGACACAAGATCAGGCGGGGTTTTGATAGGGGTATGTGAACTCAGTGGAACCCAACTACAACAGTGATGGTTAGGTCGTTGTACTGGCTCTTATGAACTGAGATCGCTAGGAAGAAACACCTTGCACTCTACTTATAAAAATCCTCCGAATACCCCATGGGTCGCAGTAGTCTGAGCTGGATTGGTGAGGATGGCATGGGACCTGGTGCATTTTGTTCTGCTGTGACTAGGGTGCCCATGAGTTGAGGCCTGGCTTGATAGCAAGGAACAATAAAGCGATCTGTAGGAAGAGGCTTCTCTATCAGCTGTAAGACAATGTTGGTATTTAGTGCTCTGATTGTAATTTGCCCTAGATTCATGCTAGTTTTTACATTAAATACTATAGTTTGTTCTTTTTTGGTGTCACACTACATGGTTCAAAATTGGGAAGGATGTTTGTCAAGGATGTGTCTTATCTGTTCAATCTGTATGCAGAACAGATTATCCAGGAGGCTGGGCTCTATGAGGAGAATTGTGGCATCAGGATTGGAGGTAGGCTTATCAACATCTGCATTATGCAGATGACACAACCCTGTTTGCTGAAACTGAGGACCTGAGGCCCTTGCTGCAGAAAGTCAAGGATTGCAGCCTTCAATATGGATTGAAGCTCAATGTCAAGAAAACAAAGTTTCTCACCACTGGACCTATTGGCAGCATCATGATAGATGGTGAAGAGGTTGAGATTGTTGACAGCTTTAGTTTGCTTGGCTCAACAATCAACCCTCCTTTTGCCAGCAGCCAGAAACATAAAAGACGAATTGCATTGAGAAAGTACTGTCAGAGACCTCTCCATGGTACTGGGGAGCAATGATATCAGTCTGGAGACTAAGGTGCACCTCATCCAGGCCATGGTCTTTGCCATTACTTGCTATGCTTCAGAAAGCTGGACAGTGACTAGGGATGATAGAAGGAGAATTAATGCCTTTGAGCTTTGGTGCTGGAGAAGAGTATTGAATATACCATGGACTGCTAGAAGAGCAAACAAGTTCGTCCTGGAGAGGGTGACTACAGGCTGCTCCCTAGAGGCAAGGATTCTGAAGCTCCATCTGTCATACTTTGGACATGTTGCAAGGAGGGACCAGTCCTTGGAGAGGGACGTCATGCTTGTGTGGGTGAAGGACGGGGCAGGAGAGGAAGACCCTTGATGAGATGGATTGATCTGTCACTGGAGTAATAGGGATGGGTGAGTTGGAGACAATGAGATTGGCAAGGGATAGAGCAGGGTTTAGGTCTGTTGGACATGGGGTCGCTATGAGTCGCAAGTAACAAAAACAACAATTGATAAAAATGTCTCAGAGCAGTGTGTCATTATAGGAGAATAGAAAAAGTTGTCAGATATGTACATGTCACCTTACTGTTTTCTCTGATACTGTTTTATTTCAGTTATTTTTATGATAGGTCAGCAACTTGCCTTTTCCCACATGAGAGTTATTATTTTATTCATCTTGAAAAAGAAAATCTTTGTATTTTGGAGGTGAAATGATGATGATGATGATGATAAAGGTTTATAATAGAAAACATAAATAAATTATAACAAAGAATTATTTATTAATAAGTATATGAGTGTATACTACATGCCAGGAAATTTTGGAACACTTATATGGATGTTGTGTTGTTGTCGTGTACCATCAAATTGGAACTGACCCGTAGCTGAACCTCCAGTGGGTTTTCAGCGGGAGTTAATCCTACGGGAGGAGCTTGCCCATCCTTCTCCAGTGGAGCAGCTGGTGGCCTCGAACTGGTAGAACAACTGCCACCTTTGGGTTAGTAGCACAACTCCCTGTGGACTCTTACACCAGAGCTCCAGATAAGATACGTGGATGATTATTTTTCTATTTTATAAACAGAGAAATTAAACCAGAGAGAAGAAACTTGCCTGACTCATGGTACAGCTAATAAGTATCAGCTGAAATTACATCCCAGCAGTCTGTCCTCTAAGCCGTTACATTTCCATCTTGTTTTTACATATCTATGGATATTGAATGAATGATACAAGAATTTTTGGAAAACTTTAACTTTTAGTTCAAAATAAACTATGATTACTTCTCTGCATTATCGCAAAGCTCATGTGAGGCCACCAGAACACAGTATAAGAATCATTTTCGGTTATATTTTCTTGGTTCTACCAAGACAGATTTGTTTCTGTTGGCAGTCAATGGTCTAAAGAACACCACAACTCTATGGCCTTTCTTATTCATTGTCCAATTTTTAGATGCATATGAAACAACTGAAAATAACATGGCTTGGATCGGTGGACATCCTTGCTCTTTAACACTCTAAAGAGTTCCTTTAACTGCTGATGTTGTTGATGTTGATGGAAGCTCCACCAGACACTGTCCACCATAAGTAACCATTATTGTATTTGACACATCAGTGTCACAGTGTTTGCATCACAGCAACCACGAGTTAACTTCTGTACAGCAAGTAGACAGACCAGTGCTGTTAGATTCAGTAAATATATTTATCTCCAGTATGTTATGAATTAAAACTTTAATGTCTCTTTGGCTTAGAATGAAACAGAAATTGAACTCGGGAGCCTGTTGAGACAGGATTTTCAAGGATTGCACAATGAATTATTGCTACGTATTGGAGAACACTACCAACAGGTTTTCAATGGCTTGTCAATACTTGCCTCATTTGCATCCAGTGATGATCCATATCAGGGCCCACGAGATATTACATCACCTGGACTGATGGTAAGAAGTATATTCTGTGTGTGTCCCCTTTCCCTATTACTCCTTACTTTATATAGCAAAGTGACTTTATTAGTTCTGACAGTATATAATCAGTTATTGGATTGCAGGAAGCTAGAAGATACATTATTGATTTTTTTAATTTTCCCTAGCTTAAATTTTTATCTGAAATTTCTGTTTATTTGTGTATAGAAATCTATAAATCCTCATATATAACTATTTTTTGTTTTGAATCTCTTTTCTCTAAGAGATTACCTTGAAAGATGTTTAGACGTCTGCTTCATCATTTACTTTTATTAAACGAGTTTTAGTCTGGCTTCAGTTTCTGTTGTGCTACTGAAATTCTTATAGAGCTTGCCAGCAGTCTTCCTGCACTCAAACACAATGTTCACTATTCTGTCCCTGTTTTATTCATCTCTTAGTAGCTTTGAGCACAAGTTATTATCTTACTTTATGGACTCTGTGATGCCACATTGAGCCCTGGACTTTCTCACCAGTCAATGCCAGGAAATTGGAGGACAGTTGTCTGGCCACCTAACAGAATGTGGAAATTATCAAACAATATCATTAATATCACATGTAATCAAAATACTTCTTAAGATCATCCAAAAATGGCTGGAACAGTACATTGACAGCGAACTGTGCTCATATGAAACCTATAGCTAGACCAAGAAGCTGTTGTTTGAACAGAACAAGGTTTAACATCAAGAAAGTCATGTGTCAGTGCTGTATCCTTTCCATAGCTTTTCAATACCTGCTGAACAAATCATTAAGGAAGCTGGACTTTATGAAGAAGAATGTGGTAGCAATATTGGAAGAAGGCTCATCAGTACCCCTTGTTATGCAGGTGACGCAACCTTGTTTGCTCAAAGTGAGGAGGACTTGGGTCACTTGTTGCAGAAGATCAAAGACCTTCAATATGGATTACTTCTTAACATCATGAAAAAGATCCTCACCCTGAGCCAATAGGAAATATGATAGGTGGAGAAAACACTGACGTCATTGATGGTTTCAAGTTGCTTGGATCTACAATCAACACCATCAGTACTAGCAGTCAAGAAGTCAAAAGGTGTATTGTTTTGAGGAAGTGTGCTGTCAGGGACTCTTCAAAGTATTAAAGAGCAATGATGTCAGCTTAAAGGCTAAGGTGCTCTAATTCAGGCCATGGTATTTTCAGTCACTTGCTGTGCATCTGAGATCTGGACCGTGAATAAGGATGATAGAAAAAAAAGATCTAGTTTTGAGGGTAGTGTTGGAGAACTAGTACTGAATGGACTAACAAAATACAACTACGTCTTAGAGAAGGTGCAGCCAGAGTGCTCCTTAGAGGCAAAGACGGTGAAGCTTCATCTTACATACTTTGGGCGTATTGTGAGGAGAGGATATTCCTTGGTAAAGGATGTCATGCTTGGATGGGTGGAAGGTCAGTGAAAGAGAGGAAGAACTTCAACAAGATGGATTGACAACCACATTGATTGGTTGCAGCAGTGGGATCGAATATATCAGAATTGATAAGGATGGCACAGGATAGGACATGGTTCAGATTCGTTGTTTATAGGGTTGATATGAATCCTACTCAACTTGATGACACTTAATAGAGATAACTGAGATGAGAAATAGGACTATGAGAAGGAATGAATCTTCTCATCAAAGAAGGACTTAGCCACTGCCACAGCCATCTCATAACACAAAAGGAAAAAGCAATGTAAATACCCGCAGCCTCCTGCCACCTTTTGTCTTGTTGGTGCTGTCTGTCTGGTGAATTTCATGCAAAGCTGGAGTGCAGAGAATCCTGAGTAATGTAGTTCATTGGTTTCTCTGTGCCATCCTCATCATCTCTGACATACTTGAGCCTATTGTTGAAGTCATTGTATCAGTCCATTTTGTTGTTTTGTCTTTCTTTAGCTGACTTACCACTTTTCAAAGAATGAAGTCCATTTCCAAGGACTAGCCTTGCCTAGCAGCATACCAACAGTGTGTGAGACTGAACTTTGCCATCCTTGCCTACAAGGAATACTTTCTCCAAGTCACACCTGTTTGTTCTTTTGGTAGTCCATGGGATATCCAGGACTCCTCTAATACCACAATTCAAAGTCATCAGTTTTTCTTCTGTCATACTTACTCATTGTCCAGCTCTCACATTCATAGCAAGTGACTGAAAAGACCATGGCCTAAATCTCGATGACAGGCCCAGTCTTTTTCTCTTCCTGTCATGATATTACCTATTGGTCCAGTGGTGCCTGCTTTGTCCTCAAACAGTTGCACTGACTCTGACACACCTACCACCATTTTCCTAGTTGTCCTATCAGTTCATTTCATCTGTGGTCTTCCTATCACTGCACTGTCCCTCCACCCTTCTGAGTATGATGTCCTTACAAAATTGGCCCCTCCTGTCCACATGCCCAAAGTATGTGAGAAAGAGTGTCAAAATCCTAGCCTCCAAGGAGAAACTTTGTTTGATCCTCTCCAAGACAGACCTGTTTGTTTTCTTGACGTTTCATGGGATGTTCAAGACTCTTCTCCAGCATCATAATTCGAAGGCATTGATTCTTCTTCTGTCATCCTTAGTCATTGCCTGGCTCTCTGATGCATAGCAAGTAGTTGCAAAGTTCTTGGACTGGATCTGCAGCACCTTTGTCTCTAGACTGACATTGTTGCTTCTCAGCATTCTGGAAATGTCCCTCACAGTAGTTTTACCTAATGCAGTTCTTCTTTTGATTTCCTGACTGCTGGTGCCAAGAGTGTTGATTTTGGAGCTGAGCTAGCTGTAATTGTTAACAACTTCAATCTCTTCTCCATCCATCATGCTGTTGTCACTTGACCCATTGGTGAGAATCTTTGTCTTCTTGATTAAACTTCAATCCATATTGAAGACTACAGTCCATCAGTGTGCTTTAAACTTTTTCCTCCATTCTCATTGGCACTTGATCATATGATATTTCTGAAATATTTCAGTGTGGACCAATTTTTTTTTAAATTTTTTTTTAATAAGGACTTTGTCAAGGACTTGGCTGCGGGTATTTACATTTCTTTTTCCCTTTGTGTTATGAGATGGTTGTGGCAGTGGCTAAGTCCTTCTTTGATGAGAAGATTCATTCCTTCTCATAGTCCTATTTCTCATCTCAGTTATCTCTATTAAGTGTCATCAAGTTGAGTAGGATTCATATCAACCCTATAAACAACGAATCTGAACCATGTCCTATCCTGTGCCATCCTTATCAATTCTGATATATTCGATCCCATTGCTGCAACCAATCAATGTGGTTGTCAATCCATCTTGTTAAAGGTCTTCCTCCCTTTCACTGACCCTCCACCCTCCAAGCATGACATCCTTTACTGTAGCAAGTGTTTCAAGTCCTCCTCACTTTGAGCAAGCAGGATTGTGTCATTTGCATAATAGAAGTTGTTGACAAGTCTTCCTCCAATCCTGATGCCACATTCCTCCTCATAAAGCCCAGCCTCCTGAATGATCTACTGTTTCAACTAAGTAGAGATCTCCAGATTTCCTAGAGTAGATTGATGGGCTGCATCTGTTAGTCAAAATTTATCAGTTGATTTCTCTTTGATTCCTGCTGCCTTGTTTTTTGCCAGGGCCATAAGTGTGCTTTAAACTTTTCCCTCCATCCTCATTGGCTCTTGATCATATGATATTTCTGAAATATTTCAGTGTGGACCAATTTTTTTTTAAAATAGGGACTGTGTACTTCTATCTTTTTTTGATACTTCCTGGCTCATTCAAGATTTTTGTCAGTAACATCTCTCAGTATAGCAAAGTTCAGTATGTTTGTCAGTGAGTAAAAGACATATGTAAACGTAAGAAATTTTTTATGTTTTCCTCCTTAATAACTTGCTTTTCCCCTAGTTTTTCGTAGCTCAGGAAATCGTCCCACTTCCTGAAGAGGAAGTCTTGGAAACCCAATGTGACCATTCTACTTTGTCCTTAGATTTCCTCTGAATAGGAATTGCAGTGGGTTTATCCAAGAGTACAAATTATGAAGTGTCAAAACTGGGATTCAATCCCAAGTTTATTGGACTCAGGGTCTTTTCTAAAACTGTCTGTGCTGTGCCATGAATGAGGCGGGAACTGAGCTTGGTGGGATAAGGTGAAGAGCTGTGCATTGGGATGTCCAGCGGCGGCTGCACTGGGTAGCTCTCTGCGCTCGTGCGCTGTGCGCCAGCTGGGCCTCCTCGTGCCCTAGCGCCTCCAAATCCTCGAGTCTTCCCGCCTGTCACCATGAAGATCTGGATCTCTGAGCATGTCTTTGGCCACCCATGGGAAATGGTCACAACTGCTGCGATGCAGAAGTACCCCAACCAGATGAACCCCAGCGTGAGGACATCCTGCACAGGCACGTGGCCCCTTGGGGGACGCTGCACAGCCAGGGTCTTGTGAGCACCGAGTGGGGCCTGCCCCCCGTCAAGCAATATCTTGTTGGTGCAACATGAACCAAAACGTATGTGCAGGAGCATTCTGTGGTGGATCCTGTAGAGAAAACGATGCAGCTGAAATCCACTGATATGTCATATACAGACAGGGTTTCGGTGCATGAGAGGCTCATCCACAAACCCCATCCTCAGGGCCTGGGGAGGATTCTCACTCAAGGAGCCCAGGAAGCCATCATCACCATGAAAGGCTCAGCCTCGGCACCTCCTGGAAGGATGGGGAGGACTATCTCCTCAGATGCTCATAAAGGTCGAGAAGCCGTGAATTCAATAAATGCTGAGGCTAAAGACAATTTCTGCTGGAGGAAGCATAAGGGCACCAGTGGCAGCGGCAGTGTTTGGAGAGAAATGACAGTGCCACGTGGCACAGAGGCCCTCACCAAGTCTCCAAGCCAGCAGTGCATATATTCGTGATTTAAAAACTACAACTATTTTAGGTAGACTTTTTTTTTTAAAAAGTAAGCAGGAGACTGCCTATGACTTTTAATCAAAACAAAGAGGGATAGGGCTTCGAACCAAAGGATAATTGAAAATAGTGGGTTTTTTTGCAATAGAATATTATGTAGAACTGGAAAACAAAGAACTCATGAAAAAAACGGGTGACCATGGAGGACATTATACTGAGTAGAATATCTTGGTCACAAAAAGACAAATACTGCATAATGCACTGTTATAAAACAGTATTGACATGGGGGGTTGGGGAAATCTAAGAAAAGATGGGATAAGTAATGCACATGGCATTGAAACAGACGAGGAAGAGAACTGTATAAAAGGAATATATGACTAGATATTATTGGAATGACAAGTCCAGAAAAAGAGGTGCACAGTAAAGTGCTTCAGGGAGGGGGAATTATATAACAATGAAAAAACATTTTCTAAAGATAAAAGCGAACTGGAGGGGCGGGGTCAAGGCAGAAAATGTGCAACAGTGAGTGAATGGAAACCCAAGTTCTTTATAAACTTTCACTAAAATCTCAATAAAAAATAATGTGTTGTTTGGTTGCAGTCTAATTCTGAGGTATCGACTATTTTTGTGGAAAATTAACAATTAATGAAAAAGTGCACTAAAATTGACATTGTCAGATTGAATCTCCTAGACATAAAAGGTGAAGCTTCCCAGGGGTGGGAATTCTGCTGGGCCTTGACCAATCTCACAACAAAGCTGGGCCACTCTGGGTCCATAGGCTGCCCACACTCAGCAGCATGTACCGAGAAATTCACTTGGAAGGGAGAAATTGGGTACTTTTCAAAGCTTTATTGATTTGCTTTAATTATTTTACTCTGTTAACACCATAGGGTTTTGATTCGGTATTTTGGTGAGAATTTTTGATAGAGAATTCTCACCAGAGTAATCTATAATCCCCAAAAGATAGGATTTTATTGCATTGAAGAGTACTGTATTGGTTGGCCAAGATTTTATAATTGAGTCAAAAAGCATTGCCTTCTTGCATCTGTCATTCCTTCCAAAGTCTTGTGATTTTGTTGCTTTTTGAAATACTTAATTCATTAAATGCTTGTCTTTAGCATTCCAGACTGGTTAGATAAAAGAAAATGTAACTGATATGAATTTGAAATTATTTAATTGTTGATTTAAGAAATTTAATCTCTATAAATTGAGGTAATAACTGTTTTACATGGTTGTTTCCTTAGGCTGATTATTTGCAGCCCAAGCTACTGGGCATTTTGGCGTTTTTTAACATGCAGTTACTGAGCTCCAGTGTTGGCATTGAAGATAAGAAAATGGTACGTATTGGGAGTTCAATTGCAAAATGCTAGACTAGGATTCTAACAGCATATACAGAAACCTGATCTTTGCATCTGACTGCAGACCTTCAAGGATGAGAAGGAAACACTTATATGAGGTATTTTGGAAATTTTTTTTAAAAAAGAATTTTATTAAACTTCTTTTGTTTACATTGGACAGAAAATTAAACCAGGCTGCTTAAAGAAATTTGATGTCTCTATAACTCCACGCATACAGATAATGTACCTTTATATATGAGTTGATTTCAGATTTACACAATCTTTCCAGAATAAACTTTTTTTTGTTTGTTTGTTTTTTGTTTTGTTCTTTTTTATTTTATACTGGTTTATTTACAAAATTAGTATACATTGATTTTCACACAGGATCTTTCCCATTTCCTTCACCCCCTCCTCCCTCTACCTGTCAAATTGTGTGATTAATCACCCCTCACTCCCCGCCCATCCTCACCGATCTGCTCCCGCCTTTCTCCCCTTGGATCCTTATACTCATTCTACAATAATGGTCTTATATGGTATTTGTCCTTATGGGACCCAGTTAGTTCACTTAGCATACTGCTCTCCATCCCTCCCAAGTGAGGTAGTGATTTACAATATCATTGCTCCTGCATGCTGCATAATATTCCACTGTGTGAATGTAACATAGTTTCTCAAGCCATTCATTTGTGGTTGGACATTTG